TGTGGTACGGACGCGGCTCACTTCATACGTTTTGATAAGGTCTCCGTACTAGCGAGAGAAAAATACTTCGTTCCGCGAAAAGTGCGAGAGGCCATCGAGATCAGCCGACGACCGTGCTTCAACAGGGATGGTGGCTGGGCACTGCCACCCGCGTGGAAGCCGAGCTTGGAGTCTTCGTCGATCCACAGCGTCTCCAGTCTGGAGTGTGACACAGTAAGCGTTATATGCAACACTGACTTTGTGCCGAACCCGGAATCGAACCCACGACCCGCGCCGCTGGTGAACGTACCGTGCGCTTTAGCTTCGTCCAACGCGCTGCCGGAGTTGGAAGCAAACGCTCGTAGTGTCCGACAGAGGGCGCGTTGGGCTCGCAGCGCAGGTGGCAACACCGAGGCGAGCGCCAACGCCAGCCAGTGAGCTGCGCGACGTCGCCGCGACCGCGCACGCTGCTCATGAGGAAGAACCCCTCTGTGGTTCGAAACTAGTAGAGCTTTTCTCAGTATATTCACGTGAGTAACCCGCGTTTTTACTTAATTTAGTATGTCTCACGATAGTTATTATAAAAACATAACAATGAAGGAAGTTGAGAGGAATTAAGTTGCTACAAAAAATTGCAAGGAATAAAATAAACAAGGAAGATAAACTTGTTGAGACGAAATAAACCAATGTATTGTGCGTACTTTACTTTATATAGCCGGACAGAGCCTCCACACATGTTTTTAAAAGTTTATAATAGTGATGATACTTACAGAATAACCATACACTAAGTAGAACTAGGAACGCAGGGTCATCTCTTGCAAACTGCGACTTTGTATCTGAAAGTAATAGTTACAACTTATATTATGTTCCTTATTGTGTTTTATAGTGGTTTATGAAGCATTGAAGCTATACAAAATATGTTTTTATGACTATATAAATACTATCTGGTACTGAGCAAATAGTTAATTCAATTACTTATAACAAAGTTTACAAAGCTGAAATATTCTGACAGGAACCTTTAACTTCTCAACAGACCAATAAGAATATTGATCATTAAATTAAATTCTAAATAATAATGATTACTTACGTTTTCTATAATTGAAATTCCTAAACACTTTCTGTGGGGACACAAACAGATACACCATTTGCCAGGCCGCAAACTCAAAGTCCATCTGATTGAATTTGAATAGTCTTCTGATGTATTTGTAGCGCTTCACAGCCGCGCTGGCTGTCGTAGGCTGGTAATTAGCAGGCGCTGGTAACGGAGATGTACTCCTTGGGTAATTACTCAGGCTCGGAGTAGGCGACGTCGAATACTTCATTTTGCACAAATTTTGTTACCAAAACTACCAAAATCACGACATTAAGGCTATTAATAAGGTTCAATATTTATCCTTAAATATTATTAAGGCCATATATTCGAGTTTAAACAATGTTTATTTATTTTATTCAAATAGAATGTAAAATTAGTCACAGCAGTAACCAGTAAACGTCAATTTATTTTGCCGAATTGTAAACGTCACTGTCATTTTTATGTTTACTCTATCTAATGTACACAGACAAACAAGGACAGTACAACTTTCATGTTCAAGATATAAGATGTCATTCGTTATGACTGTATAAAGGTGACGTTTAACATTTTACGTTCGGAAATAAGATTTTTCTAATAAGAAATGTTTCAAACGAGGAACGGATTGATCGTGGAGACAAGGAAGAGATTATGTAAGAAAGTTCATATGAATATAACTTCTCGTCTGTGTTTAATTAGAGTAGACAGAAGCATACTTCCAAGCTCCAATTTCATCAACATTTTTTTAGGGATGATCTATCTTGATGTTTTATCTGTTTTTGGTGCTTGCACCGCAATCTGCCTTTCGAAATTGGGTATATGTAAAATGAAAGAAAATATAGGTATTTTAAAATTGTATTTACTTACTTAAAACTAACAGTCAGTAAACATTATCACAAAATATTTTATTAATAACAATTGATGTCAATATTTTTAAATTAACTTTAGCTTAGAAAAGACTTGATGACAAATAAAAATAAATTAAGTGTGGTCTCAAATATTATAAATAAGTACCTATACCTAGTAATATGACAAACTTATGCTTCTACATCCTGTACTTTAGTACCTACTTCTATTGAATTAAATGGTAACATGAGAGACGGTAGTTAATAAATGTATACGTAAATACTATTTGAATTAGTACTTCTAAGTAGGTATCTTATATATAAGATGAACAGCAGCAGTAGACCATGTCATGTCAAAAAATAATTTGACTGTACTTCTTTCTTACAAATATTTCACTTACGTATGTATTTTTACAGTTTTATTTTTCTAACTACATAATTTAGTTGAGATTATGACATTAATAGATTACACTGTATTTTGTTGCAACCAGTGTGTATAATGCGTGACTCTAGTGTACACGCCGGGGTACCCAGGCTCTCCGCATTTGTTTCCGAACGAAACCACTCCGATTTGAGTCCAACGACCGCCCACTTGCAGCATTAGCGGACCTCCGGAATCACCCTGGAAAAGACATTGATACTTATTAGTCTTTGTTTACAGTTTATGTTGAAGATGAGTAAAATAACATAACATAACATCACGCCTCTTATCTCCGAAGGGGTAGGCAGAGGTGCACATTACAGCACTTAATGCCACTATACCTACAATGTAACACTCACTTTGCACCATTTATGTTACGAGTCCCATGTAATAGGGGGTGAGCCTATTGCCATATGCCGGGCACATTTCCAGACTCCGTGCTACTACTGAGATTTTTTAAAAACCCAGTAATACTTTGCCCGACCCAGCAGTCGCACTTGGGACCACTCGGTTAATGAGGCAGTCGTATTTAACGTAATATAAAATAAGATTTTTCTCCAAAGAGTACTTTACTCCTTTTTTAAAAGTCCGGTAACGGATTCGTGATTCTTCGTGTCTTGTAGATGCCCATAGCAGCGCCGATTGCTTACCATTGGTGATTCGTATGCTCGTTTGCGCTTATAATCGGTAAAAACATGTAGAGGTAGACAATAAAATACTTTACCTGACAAGCATCAATACCGCCTCTCGCGTAACCAGCGCACAAGAACGTGTCAGTGATGGGCTGGAAGTACGCACGGTTGCAGTCCTCGTTCCTCCACACCGGCAGCTTGGCCTCCAACTGTTTGGAGCTCTCTCCGCCACCATACCGAGTTGTACCCCAACCCACTACTGTGGCCACTGCCCCATCGAATGTCTGCCTTGTTAGCTCACCCCGCGGTATGCATATGGGAATCACGTATTTTGATTTCTGAACGTTTTCTGAAACATAATCGAGTTATACTGCAATTGTTTTTTATACATAGAGAGATACGAACATAGTAATAAATTTTTAACCCGAGTTTCGTCAGTTCCCAGAACCTATGCTGTTATTGAGGATTAAAATTGTTCTCGTTTCGGGAATCGAACCCGATACCTCTCACCTTGCTCCCTTTGCACATATATACACGTACTCAAAGAGACAAGTACTCAAATAAGGCGATTTTCCCATTTTGTTAGTAAACCTACACTGTCCGAATGTGTTATAGGTACCTACTTAGCCATTTAAGAAAAAATTGTATTCTTTACGTTTTTCTAAATATACATTCTCAAGCAATTTCTAATTCTATACATCAGTTCTGAAACCTTACCTGATAGAACGAGCACAGCAATATCGTTGTAGAAGCCGACCCTGGAGAACTGGTCGTGTGCCCGCACGGCGGTGACGCGCAAGGTGACTGGACGGGACGGCTCGTCTTCACGTGCCAAGTCCACGTCTCCGAGACGCACGCTGAACTGACGAGCTGGGAATCTGAGGAGTACCGTCTTCAATGTAAATTAATTTATTTTACCTAGGACACCTACGTATAACTACAAATTACTGTAACAGATAAGTTGGCCGCGTTATGGCGTATCATTAATCGAGATGGTAATCTGACGCTGAGTTAACCAATCTACTACTTGACTTGAATGAAACAATGCATGTTATTGTGACGAATTTGATGAACACTTAACATGTTAACATGATATGTTTTAATGTTGATCATAGATTCAATAATCAATATATAATTAATCAAATCATACCTGTTCTTTTAACCCTACTCTCCCTAAAAAACAGCAGTAGGTAGTAGGTACCTTCCAATCCAAGTTAACTTCCTTGTTCTAATAAGTGACTGAAAATAAGTTTACTATCACCTTAAATAAAAACTTGTACAAAATGGGGTACTCACGGTCGCTGCTTAGAGTCCCTGGTACAATGAGCAGCAGTGAGAATATGTCTCTTATTGACCAGGGTACCTCCGCACCAGAACTCCCGGCGCTTGCTGCCGTGCAGGTAGATCGCTGCCATCCACGGCCAGGCGCCAGGCTTAGCTTCTGTTCCTCCCACGATACGACCACCCTCGTCCTCGCGTTGACCACACTCTGGAATCAGTCGTTGACTATATTATTATTGACCTTCAGATTCTTACTACAGCTGTTTTTTTTGAGGGAGAGAGTAGGATAAGGAATACACTTGTGTGTTACTACTTGTTGTGAATTAGTTGATTGATAAATTCTATCTGTATTGACGCATCATGCAGTCATCACTTCACCGATGAAGGATAGCCCCGATTGTAACATGTAGATTATTTAGGTATTAACATTAAAAGCTATTTCAAATTATTGACATTAACGTAACTTCAAAGCTCAAAACGGTTTATATAATTTCTTTTACATTTACTTAAAGGGTTCTAAAGCATTTAAACAAATGAATCATGTAACTCGTTATGAAGTTGTACTGTAAACCATACAACTGAGACTCGGTAAAGGTTAGTCAATTAACGCTTCGCCTTAACACTTTTAATTAATGTTAAAGAAATTACTAAGAAACTGCGACTGTCTTACCTTTCGATCTTTAAGGCTCCGGCAAATAACCAAGTGATTTTTGGATTAAAATATTGGCCCACTTGCACGGCACATCGAACAGATTATCTTTATAGCTCAGTTATAGGTAGATTTCTAAAAGTTCCTTTTAGCTTTTGTCTCATCATCATAGTCGTGCAAGTAAACCAAAACATTTAAAATGAATATCTTACCCTCAATATCAACAATGTTGGAGAAATTAGTGATAACAGGAGGCGTGACAGTGTAGTATGAGGTAGTGGGCAGAGTTCTCGGCGTAGTCACCGTCGTGGGGGTTGCAGGCCGCTTGCTGGTGGTCGCTGGTCGCTTAGTCGTGGTCGGCGGTCGCTTGGTGCTGGTCGCTGGCTTTGGCTTCTTCGTTGTCAACACCAATACAGCTGAAGGCTTCTTCGTAGTCGCAGGCTTTGGCTTCTGTGTCGTCACCGGCACCAAATAAGTCGGCTTACTCGTCGAAGCAACAATCGGTTTCTCTGATTGTGGCACAATCGCATCTTTCGGACAACACACCCCAGGCACGAACAAATCTTTGAAGCACAAAGATTCCCTAAGATTCACTAAGTTTAGCAGCAGTTGTGGACAGTTGCTGAGGTCTTCACAAACGCCATCCTCTCCCTCAGGTGTTGTACAAGACTTGGCATCTTCATCTATGCGGTCTGCGGTAGCTATTTTGGTTATAGGAGCATCTGGTAACACCTTTGGTAACGCTTTCTTCACAATAGGAGCTATCTTGTCTGTCACATTTCTGCCCAATACGTTTTTACTTATGGTATAAAGTGCCTGAGGTAGTTGCTGTAGATTTGGGTCTGTTTCATTCCTCTCATGTGAGTCGTTCACCATGTCTACGAGGTAGTGTCCAACAGTGTTTATGGCACCAAGAGTTTCTGATATCCTGGTAAATGCTGAGTCTGATAAGAGTCTAGGGTCGTTGGGATGTCTAGGTTCTGTTTGGGCATAACCCACAGGAGATCTATTGTCGTAATACTGAGGTCCTTGGAAGTTCTGGATGGGGTTGTATTGTGTTTGTGGATATTGGTTGCTGGAGGCAAACTGCATCTGTCCATACTGGTCATTATTGTAGTATGGACTATCATATGTGTCTGGGGATCTTTTCCTTGGAGAGGAGAATTGGTGCCACGGGGGATTTCTTTGTTGTGTGTGAGGGTTCCAATCACCCGGCGTCTGCATGTAGCTCACTGGGGAAGAAAAGTGATGTATTGTAGAATGTTTGTAAACGAGGCAAAGAGAATTGAGTGGTTAGAGGAATTGATGCGTACCTACCCATGTGGTGTCCTGGGTACTGGCATTCTGCTTGCGGAGGTAGTATTATGGTACCTGCAACAATAAACAGAAGAAATAAGTAAACTAATTAATACTTGATACACAAAAACATGATACAGGACAAAATTAAATTCATGATCACCAATTACATAACGGTAGTGACTCATTCAACGGCTACAGCATAAATGATACGAGTGAGTCCGATTCCCCAAACGAATTTACTTTATCTACATAGAAAATATTTGCAATTATTTTAGGTGCGGTCGTTTACCTACTTATCATTTGTGT